AATGTGTTGCTCAGTTTAGGTGTTTAGCAATAGCACTAACCTGTGGCTTTCCTCAGCGGATGGGCGCCATGGGATTGTCCGCGTAGACCGGGTGCCACTGGCGGCCAAGCTGGTGGATCTGCCCTGCATCATCGAGAGCTTAAAAACCATTGACAAGAAAACCTTCTATAAGACAGCAGATATTTGCCAGGTATGGGCTGTCCTTCTTGCCTGCCCCAACAGCTTAATTCCTTACCTCCCTCTCCAGAAAAACCCCTGTACACTTTGACAGCTGGACACCCAGTATAACATGGCAAATTTCTGTATTTTCACAGTATTAGCAGGTTAAAATTCCTCACTCTGCTTGGTGTTTAGAAGTCCCATTTCTAAAGCATGAAATGTGGTTGTCCTTGTAACAGCGTAACTGCTGCTGTGTTTAGATATGAACTGAAATTGGCCGTTGTGTTTCTCGTACCCCATGCCTGTGAAATCCTTTGGCTCACAACATGCAGTGGGCAGTCACCATTCATTTTCCAGAGAAGCTTTCACTTCCTTTTGTTGATGCGGCTCTTCCAGATGCTTGTTTGCACTGTGGATGGTGATCTGTACCCACCTTTGGAAGAGCAAACTGTGAGCACTGACCCTAAGGCAAACAAGAAGAAGGACAAGGACAGAGAGAAGAAATTCATCTGGAACCATGGCAGTAAGTAGAGGCTGTGCCAAACCCCTCCATCTCACCACCCCGGTGTGCCACCCCTGCGCAGGGCGCTTACCACTGCCATGTCCTGGCTGTGCTGCTGCTCCATTCTCAGTGCTGTCTCTGTTCCTGAAGGGATCTTCTCCCTTTTGGCACGCAGCTCTCCCATGAGGCTGTCTGTGTGACACACGCGATCTGTTTCCTCTGTCACAGTCACTCTTCCCCTGAAAAATGTACGGAAGAGACGATTCCGGAAGACAGCTAAGAAGAAGGTAAGTTGCTTCTCACACAGGTGCAATAACCAAGAGGTAGGAAGGCAAAGACATCAGAGCTGTAACTGTCTATTAGTCCAGAAAACATGTAATTTCTTAACATTGCTTCACATGTTTCCTTGCCCGAGATGAGGGTGAAGGGAGGGTAGTGGATTTAAACACTTCTTTGGGTGCTTCCTCCATGTTTTCCAAGATGCTCCTGCGGGGACAATCCTCTGCAGAGAACTGCTGGACTGCTTTCCTACAGCTGCCCTGCCATAGCACATCTCTTCCTGCTCATAAAG